AAGGGCCAGGGAAAACATGATCAGCGTTGGAGTCTGAGTCAAGGGAAGGAGCCAGGAACCAGCAGCGCCTGCTCTACCTTCCCACCCTGGCACTGGGTGAGGTTGGGGGGAAGCAGCCTGCCCCGGCCCCGAGACCCACTCGCCCCCAGATCTGCTGCTTTCCTCTCCCCCTTCCACCCAGAGTGATGCAGGAAAGGGACTTTACCTCACTTCTCCTTTCTGCACACCCGTTTCTGAGCCTGCCTCTCCCCGTCAGCCCATCTGTGCCGGAAGGCTTTGTCGCCTCACTGGACGGCATGGCACGGGAGGCCCCAGACCCCCTGAAACAGAGAACCCTCACTCTGCTCTCCCCTTCCTGGCAGAGCTGCCTCCTTGGTGCACAGCCTCTCCACGCAGGGGTGCGAGCAGTGCCATCCAGCTGGGACCAGGCTGCTGCTATCCCCCCTCTGGCTTTGTACCCCTCTATGGACCCCAGGATGAGCTGGGCAGGATGGATCCAGCCTCACCGCCCTTATGGGGCTATATAACACAGCCTGGAGCTGCAAAGGGGCACAGAGTTTGCTGTGCAGACGGTGCTGGGCTCCCAGCTCTAGTAAGCTCCAGTGGAAACCCATCCCAGCTCACCTGCCTGCTCACCCACAAAGCAGGCTTCGGCTCCAGCTCCTCTCCCTGCACTGGAAATCATAGGATTGGGAGCAGGCAGGCTTTGGATGACAGAGAAGAGCAGATACCGGGAGCGGGGTCCAGTTCATCTGCATCCATGCCTGTGGGGAGTGAACACAGTGCAGTGTTAGGCTCCAGGAGGGCGTGGGGAGCAGCAGGGTGCTGGGGGAGGCAGCTAGGATGCAGGGAGAGCGGCTGGGACACAGCCCCTGCCCCACAATGAGCAAGGATGGAGGCTGCAGCTCTGCACAGAGCTGTGCAGCAGCAGTGCTGGACACGCAGGGAGGCTGGAGAGGGACAGGGGCAGCAGAGCAGCGCGAGGCAAGCAGCTGGGATGCAAAACGAGCTGCTCTGGAGCGAGCAATGGTTTTTTGGGGGACAGGGGACTGGCCCTTGCTGCACTGAGGCTCCTTTGGGGCTAGGTGGCCCCGGCAGTAAGGTGGGGGTGCAGCTGGGCTAAAGTTTGTCCCAGCAGCTGAGCCTGGGCAATGCAAACTGGTCCCATCTGCCTCAGGAGCACAATGGGGTCCTGCTTCATACCTGGCTGGGGATGCAGCTCAGGGACAGATGACCCAGGGCTGCCCGCGATCGCTGCCCCCATCCCATCACCTGGTGTGCTGGCAAAGAGCAGTGGCTTTGGCAGGAGCAAAGGGCACCTCCTCCTCACAGAGCATCTCCCACGGCAGAGCGCAGCCTCTCCTGCCACCGCTCTCCATCCACACTTCCTGGGGACAGCCCACCGCCAGCTCAGCTCCCTGGGGACAAGCGGGCTCGCATCCTTCCCTCTCCCATGCCCGGCACAGCCCTCGCCTGTCCTGCTGACTGAGGGGGCTGGAGGATGCTCAATGGGAGCATGGTGGGCACCAGGGCTGCAGGGACCCACGAGCTGCTCCCATGGCATGGCTGGGGCACTGAGGACCCGGCCCCCATGGGACACGGTGGCCAAGCACAAGGATGCTCCCAAAGCCAGCTCAGGGCATGGGGAGCACAGCTCAGCTCTTCGCACCGGGGATTTAACGGTGCCTCGGTTCCTGCCTGGGGCTCCCTCCCCAGCTCCAGCCCCAACCCCAGAGCAGGTTTGCAAGTGAAGCTCCACTTGTCCTGAGCACCTCCCAGCCTCGCAGCTTCTCCTCTCCTTAGAAAAGAGTGGTTTACAGACTTTGGGACCTCCCCCGGGGGACATCAAGAAGCAGGGCAGCTGCCACACGGCCAGTAGAGAGATGTCCTGCAGCTTCCTGAAAGCCTTGGCAAGAAGATCCAGGAGCCCAAGGCCATGCAGTGGAGGACAGAAACCCCTGGAGCCACGAAGGCTGTGGCCATGGTGGGGCAGGAGTGTGTGGCAGAGCCGTCCGCAGGGCCCTGTGCTGGGGTGCTGTGCTGGGGGCGCTTGGGGGAACCCACACCCCAATTTGGAGTGTTGCTGGTGCCGCTGGCTGAGCATTTCCCTCCTCTCCCCACTGCAGGTTGCCAGGTAACACAACCTGCCGGGAAAATGCTGTGGGACTTGTAAAGCTGCCACCACTGGGGAGCTTGCGGTCGCACACAGAGGGTGTCACTGGCCAAGGGATCGGCCTCCAGTTCCTGCCCCAGTTCCTGGTACTGGCGGGAGGGCAGCGATGCTGGGGCTCAAAGGCTGGCAAACAGCTGGGTGCAGCTCTCAGACAGAGCTACGGGGTTTTGGTGTGCTAAAGCCTGCTTGGGATTTGTATGGCTGTGGGAAGCACAGCATCGGCCGTGCATGGGGATGCTCCCGAAACCTTGATGGGTCCCTCAGTCATCCAATTGTGTGTCCTGGCAGGCGTGTTTGGAGCTGGATCAGTGTGGTGGGAGCTGCAGTGTGTGGGACAGGAGGGCATAGAGCCGGGAGCTGAATGTGCTATGATAGCTGGGACAGCCGCGGGGACACGATTCCTGTTCGCCCCGTGGATCCCAGATCAATTGACAGTGGCCTCTGGTCAGCAGCCATCGCTCCTGTCACTTCTGCACTTGCAGGGTGCTGAGGGGCTGGGTCCAGCCCAAGTCCAGGGTGTTCATGTGAGGGTATCGGTGATGGGCATCTCCCACCTCTCTGCCGCTGTCCTGCTGCTCCCGGGTGCCACTCATGCCCCAGAGCCAGGGCTTTGTGTCTACAAACACAAGACAAACTCCTGAACCCTCTGTTTGCTGAAAGCTCCCCTCATTGCCTTTGACATTTCCTCTTAACGCACACCGAGGGGCTGAGCCAGGGGCTGCCTCCTTATGGAGGTCCCTGCGGGGCGGCTTCCCATTCAGCCTAGTGCTATTTGCAGCTCTGTGGGCTGGGGAAGAAATCTGGAGCATCCTCTGGGGCTGGGGGGGCAC